TATATATATATATATATATATATAGCCCGCCTTGTCACGCCGTATGTGCATAAATCAATAGTAATAATAGTACGACAGAAACCTAGTGCAAACACCCGAACAAAACTTCCCAACAATATAATGTGCCAATATCACATCTCATAAATTGCATCTCAAGTGCTCAAATATTATAACATATCACATATTTGCACATCAAGTGCTCAATATTACAATTTATCACAGATTGTACATCAAGTGCTCAAATATTATAATTTATCACAGATTGCACATCAAGTGCTCAAATATTACAACTCGCCACCAAATTCAACAATACATTATTTTCACAATAAGGAGCCCATGGCTCGACCATAATGTACACAAAATATTAACAGATATATCCGGGAGTGAACAACTCAACAAAATAATATTTCACATAAAAATCAAGGTGGCAATCACACCAAATCATCATATAAAAATAAATCCAACAAAATAAGAAATTAGGCAAGAAAATTAAAGGATTTAATAAGTGTCAATAATTTTCAATTTAATACATAAGGACGTCTAAGGTTCTTAACTAGTGTAATTTATATATATAAACCAAGTACGTACTCGTCACCTCGCGTACATGATTTTAAAATACACAAATTACACATAAGACTCAACGCCTAAGGAGAATTTCTCCCACTCAAAGTTAAGCAAGATACTTACCTTTTCGAAGTTATGTCGATATTTCAAAATCGTCTTCTTGCTTGAATTGACTTCCGTACCTCTCAAATCTATCCAAATTAATTGTAACACTCCACTAAATTTTATCGGAAATAATTCCGGATAATAAAACGTCGACTTAGAAATTTATCCTAAAAAAGTCAACAAAAGTCAAGCGGGTCCCGCCTCTCAGAATCCGACATAATTTTTATGAAATTCGAACACCTATTCTGATACGAGTTCAACCACACCAATTTTATCCAATTCCGATAATAACTCGACCTCCAAATCTTAAATTTTCAGTTTTGATCTTCCATAAAAATACGAATTAAACGATAAATATAACCATAGATTCATGAAATATAAACACTTTAGGATATAGAACACTTACCCCAATCCATATGGTAAAAATCGCCTCAAAAATTGCTTCAATCCGAGCTCCATATCTCTAAATATGTTAAAAATGGCCGAAACCTCGAAATATATCTATTGCCCAAGTATTTACTCTTCGCGATCGCGGAAAATGATTCGCGATCACGAAGCACAACTATTCTCATCCCAAAATTTGCTTTTCGTGATCGCGAAAAATGCCTCGCGATCGCGAATAACAAGTGCCCAGCTCTTCGAGATACCCTATAGTTTAATAGTCATAACATTTGTAAAAAATTCTAAATTATAAATGGTTTAATTTTCTGAAAATTAGACACACATAGCTACAACTTTTATTTTTGGATCATCTCCAAATTCGTTATAGATTGCGAGATATAAGCTTTCAAAACCGGGTTAGTGGAGCAGGATTTTCCTTTACGTAATCGCGAAAAGGCTTCCGCGATCGCGACTCACAGTGTCCAAACAACAAAATTGCTCTTCCTGATCGTGATCGTTTGTCCGCGATCGCGATGCATATCTTTGTGGCAAAAACCCCCCAACTAAAAATGGCCTAGAAATGGTCCGAAATTCACCCGAGCCACTCAGGACCCCGTCCGAACATACCAGTAAGTCTCAAAATATTTTACGAATTTAGTCAAAACCTCAAATCACATAAAACAACGCTAAAACCACGAATCATACCCTATTTCTAGCTTAATAAAACTAAGAAATTTCAACTTTTATATTCGACGCCGAAACCTATCAAATCAAGTCCGATTGACCTCAAATTTTGTACACAGGTCATAAATGACGTAACAGACCTATGAAAATTTTCAGAATTAGATTCCGACCTCAATATCAAAAAGTCAACTCCCCGGTCAAGTTTCTAACTTAAACTTCCTATTTTCGCTATTTCAAGCCTAATTTAACTACGAGCTTCCAAATAATTTTTCGGACACACTCCTAATTCCAAAATTACCATACGAAATTATTGGAATAATCAAAACTCTATTCCGGGGACGTTTACTCATAAGTCCAACTTTGGTCAACTCTTTTCATTTAAGCTTCAAAAATAAGAATTGTTCTTTTAATTTAACCCGAATTATCCGAAAATCAAACTCGACCATACACGCAAGTCATAATACACATCCCAAAGTTGCTCATGACCTTAAGTCGTTGAACGAGACACTAATCCTTAAAACGACAAGTCGGGTCGTTACAATAATAAACGTAAAATGAGTGAAATTTATGTGCACAAATTCTTCGTGAAAAATGATCCAAATTGACCGCCCAAGACTATAATTTAAAATTAATTTCAAATTGGAGTTCAATTAGAATTTAAGGGCTACAATAAGACTTTCTCTTAATAGCAAAAATAATACCAGACTAAAAGTCTAACAAAGTACACAAAACACTCGACGTCAAAGATTATATTTACAAAGTTAACCAATTTCTGTTAAGCTTAGGAAAATGAAAATTCCAATTTGTTACATCCTACATAGCCACCCTCTCAAGGCCGGCCGAAGCCTAAGGCCACTAAGGCAATGGCCTTAGGCCCCCAAAATACTTAGGCCCCAAATTTTATAAATAATATATATAATATTTAATAATTATGTACTATTGATAGAATTTAAAATTATTTGTTTAAAATAGTTATAGCTAAAAGTTATACACATCTTAAATTGTAGTTAATTACTAGTTATTTTCTTTCTTTAATTCATCCCAACTTAAATTGATCTTCTTACAATGTTAGTTTATAAAAATATTTTTTAATTCTTTGAGTGCCATACCAGTAGTTACTACAATATTATTTGTTTCGACTTATATTTATATAAGTAGAAGAATACTCTAATTGGCGAACTCAATCAGGTAAAAAGTGTTAATTCAATTACCATTAATAATTTCTATATTTGTTCCTCAGTTTAAAAAGTTTTTCAAAGCTAAATCAATAAAGTTCAACATGATAACACAAGGGAGATTAAACAAATTGGTTAGATATTGACAATAATTAAAACTAATTATAATTTATTAAATTATAAGAGTAAAACAAATAATTAAAAAAATTTAAGGCCTCGCTTTTTATTTTCGCCTTAGGCCCCATATTATGTCGAGCCGCTCCTGAATTCCTCTCCGTTCACTTTTATTTATTCACTATTGACTCTGCACATCTCTAAAAAATAATAAATAAAATACATAATTACTATGATACATATATTAATTGATATATAATTTTAATAAATTTGAATAGAGTAATAAATGCTAAGTGTAAAATAAAAAAATAAATTATTTTTTTTAAAGTAAAAAATAATAATAAAAATTTATTTTTAGAATATTTGATTCGTAAAAATGAATGGAATAAAAATAAAAATCCATGATGCAGTGAGAAGAAAGAATACGTAATCACACACACAGGATCAAAAAAGAAACAACGTAATGTTCTGGAACTATAGTGTGAGTAGTACTAATAGCAAAGTATATGTCCGTCACACGTGCCATCTATATAAAAGCCACGCCACTTGTGCTTTTTTAGATGACGAAAATTAGTGCCTCGTTGATCTCTATGGTCATTACTAGCTAATGCTGCTCGGTGGGCCGGGCCTGAACCGGACCGGACCGGGCCCGCGGTCCTAACGGGCCTGGTGGGCCNAAGCACAGGACCATGTGGGCTTAGGCCCGTCACGGGCCGGTTCCACCCATTAGGCCCACGAAGACCGGGACCGCCAGGCCCGGGACCGCCAGAGCCCGGGACCACGAAGCCCGGGACCGCGAGGCCCGGCCCGTTAGGCCCACTAAGGCCCGGGCCCGGGACAAAATACAGCCCTATTACTAGCCCATGCTCAGTGCTCACCACTTCCTTTTGAACTTTTTTGAGAATAACACCAAATAGTACTCACACTCTCACAAAAACAAAAAAAAACTTAAAAAGAGAGAAACAATTAAGTATCTCTCTCTCTTTCTCTCTTTAAGCTTATCAGCTACCACTATCCATATCCAAGAACATCAATGGGCGAGGTTTGTTTTGCTCTCTACCTCTTTTCGTTTTTTTGTTTTGTTTTGGTTTTGTGGTTTGAGATTTCTGATTTTTTTGGATATAGGAAGAGAAGAAACCAGAAGAAGTGAAAAAACCAGAGGAAGAGAAGAAGGAAGAGGCTCCAAAAGGTGATAATGAAAAGAAGGAAGAAAAGAAAACAGAGGAAACCAAAGAAGAAACACCAGCACCTCCACCGCCACCTCAAGAAATAGTGTTGAGAGTGTACATGCATTGTGAAGGTTGTGCTCGTAAAGTCCGTAAATCCCTTAAAGGCTTCGAAGGTAAGCAGATTTATTAGTTTGAATTCAAGATTTCACTGAAAAAACAAAACCTTTTTTGAATTTACTCTTTGGGTCTTTTGTAGTAATTTAAATGTGTTTATATAGGAGTTGAGGATGTTATCACGGATTGCAAGACACATAAGGTGGTTGTGAAAGGGGAAAAAGCAGATCCGTTGAAGGTTTTAGAGAGAGTGCAAAAGAAGAGCCACCGTCAAGTTGAGCTTCTCTCTCCGATCCCAAAACCGCCGGCCGAAGAGCCAAAGAAACCGGAGGAAAAAGAAGTCGTTAAACCCGAAGAGAAAAAAGAGGAGGTTTGTTTAATTTAATCTTTAATTTTTTTTCCTTTTTATCTCTCACGCGAGTTGTTTCTTTTTATATATGATGCTTTTTCTCTCTTTAGTCTTTTCCCCTTCTGGGTTTTTATCAGTTTTTAAGGTAAGATAATGAATATGGTATTTCTGGTTTGTTTTGCAGCCGCCCCAAGTGATTATTGTAGTTCTGAAAGTTCACATGCATTGTGAAGCTTGTGCTCAAGAAATCAAAAGGCGTATACAAAGAATGAAAGGTATGATTTTTTCTTCTTTTTTCCCATTTTGGGGTTGTATGAATTAGTAAGAACTTTTTGATTTATTTTTTGGTGCAACTAATTGTTAGTCTGATTATGCTTTTGTTACACTTTTCCCTTTTTCGGATCTCTATAATAGTATTCAGTATTTTAAGGATTCTATATTCTCTGCATCTTTCGCAATCGGTGCAGTCTTTAATTTAGAATAATATAATCATTCTTTACAATATATTCAAATTTAAGTCAATTCAAACACATTCTGTCAACAACTAATCACGTCCATTTGTTAAATTAATTGAGGAATCTTTAGAATCTGTCAACTGGCATTAACAATTTGACCATAAATTTATAATTTTGAAGGTGTGGAGAATGCAGAACCAGACTTGAAGAGCTCACAAGTGACAGTAAAAGGGGTATTTGAGGCAACACAACTTGTGGATTATGTAAGCAAAAGAACAGGGAAAAGGGCAGTTATAGTTAAAGTAGAACCAGAAAAGAAAGAAGAGGAAAAACCCAAAGAAGGAAATGAAGAGAAGAAGGCAGAAGAAGGCGAAAAAGAAGCAAAAAAAGGTGAAGAGGGAGACACTAAAGAGAAAAAAGAGGGTGGTGGAGATGGCGGCGCCGCCACCGCCGGCGGCAGTGAAGAGGCTGATTCAGGTAAAGAGGTGGCTGTTCAAGAAGACCCAAAATTAGAAATGAAGAAGAATGAGTTTTACTATAATTACCCACAGAATTACCAGGTTTACCCTCAAAGATATGCCCATGAAATGTATAATCCATATCCTCCACAAATGTTCAGTGATGAGAATCCCAATGCATGTTCTGTGATGTAAATTAGGAGAAACATGAAGGGTATATGTGGAAAAACAAGGAATTATGGTCACATGGGAAATGACCATGGCTATTTCTGCAACTTCTTGTGGTTGTGCTCTACATGTGGCTCTGTCTGGGGCCTTTAGTAATATGTCTGCAGGCAAAAAACTATAGAATTTTGTGAGCACTTTGTACTTTTTTCTGGTTTTCTTCTCTATTATAAGCCTGTTGTTATATACTATAATCAATGTTGTATGTATATACTAGTAGTATAGTATATTTAGCAGAATTTTAAATGTTGTACTTTATTCTTGCAAGTTGTTTCTTCTGAGTGCAGATCTTCCCTACCCCCACCCCACCCCACCCCACCCCACCC